ATAGTGTTTCACTCTTTCGGAGGTGGTACGGGCTCCGGGTTTACTTCGCTTCTAATGGAAAGGCTGTCAGTGGACTATGGGAAAAAATCCAAGCTGGAATTGGCAGTCTATCCGGCTCCTCAAATATCTACGTCCGTCGTGGAAGCCTATAACTCTGTACTGACAACTCATACGACCCTCGATCATTCCGACTGCGCTTTTATGGTCGATAATGAGGCAATCTACGACATTTGTCGAAGAAACTTGAACGTTGACAGGCCGACGTATACGAATTTAAATCGAATTATAGCCCAAGTAGTGAGCTCGATAACGGCATCGCTTCGGTTTGACGGTTCGCTCAATGTCGACATAAGCGAATTTCAAACGAACTTGGTTCCCTATCCCCGAATACATTTTCCACTGTTAACTTACGCACCGATCGTCTCGGCCGAACGGGCTTTTCACGAGCAGCTCACCGTCTCGGAACTCACCTACAGCTGCTTCGAGCCCGCAAACCAAATGGTCAAATGCGACCCTCGCCACGGCAAGTACATAGCATGCTGCTGCTTGTATCGGGGGGACGTCGTGCCGAAGGACATAAACGCCGCAATTTCCGTTATCAAAACGAGACGAACGATTCAGTTCGTCGATTGGTGTCCTACCGGTTTCAAAGTCGGTATAAATTACCAGCCACCCACCGTCGTTGTAGGAGGCGATTTGGCCAAGGTACAACGTGCCCTGTGCATGATGTCGAACACTACCGCAATCGCCGAGGCGTGGGAACGTTTGGATCATAAATTTGATTTGATGTACGCGAAACGGGCGTTTGTACACTGGTTCGTTGGGGAAGGGATGGAGGAAGGTGAATTTTCGGAAGCACGAGAAGATACGGCCGCGTTGGAGAAAGACTATGAGGAAGTAGGTCTTGATACTATCGACGAAGGCGAAGGGGAAGATTTCTAAATTTTACGTTGTACCTTTAGTAGTTTTAAGGATAAATTAAATTTTGCAAAGTATCTGGGTAACAATTAATGATAGTAGATACATATTGCTGTGATACCACGCATAGTTTTAGTCGTTCGAATATTGGAAAGGGCGAAAAGAAATTTGATTCGGCTCAAAGAACCAATATCTTGATTTAAAAAAAGCACGAAGGGCGGAAATGTGCTCGTACGACACAAACTGTGCATTGATAAATAAGGCTATGGGAGTATTTTTAAAATCCCCATAACTAAATCTATAAGATAAAATCGAAAAAGCGACGGTTTCACTATTTTTGATTTATATTCCAAATTTGAACTTAATATCTCAAAAACTGCAGAAAGAAAAACTTCAAAAATCATGAAATTATAACACCCTGTAGATCGATAACGAAGAATTTTCGGACCTTTTAGTCATATTTAGTAACACCCTGTATACAATCGTCTACAAATTAATCATCGACATATAGAAATGACCTGCGCGTGCCAATGATAAGCACGGATACTGTAGGTGAGAGAGAAGGGAAAACTAAGAGGCAAGCTCTCTCTTACGGCTACGCATCTTATTGGTTCCTTCCATTTAATTTGTATGCGACCAACAGAAGCGCGATAGAGGGCTTGCCTCTTCGTTTTCCCTTCTCTCTCACCTGCAGTATCCGCGCTTTGTATTGGCGCGTGCAGTTCATTACTATGTGTCGATGGAATTAATTTGAGTTAAAAAAAATTACCTAGGAAGCTTAAATCTCTGTCAAACATCCCCATTTTAATTTTCATAAAACGAATTCGAGTGGGAGTGGTTGTTGCGGAGAAACTGATGGGAGATGTGGAAGGGGAAGTGAAAGAAGAAATAGAAGATGACACGAAAGAAAAGTTTGATACCCAAGGAGGACAGGAAATTGCGAGGGAAATTGAGAACGAAGTGAAAGAGGGCGTGGAAAAGGAAGTGAGTGTCGAAGTAGAAGGGGAAGTTGGGGTAGAAGAGGATGTGGAACGAGAGGTGGACAAGCAGTGAGAATCGCAACAAATTGAAGAAGTGCAGGCCGGAGTTGAAATAAAAATGGAGCTTCAAGCCAAAGCAAGGATTGATAAAAAAGAAAACGAAGAGGTAATGGAAATATAGTGAAAAGTTAAAGTACAAGTGAAATACAAAATGGAAGCAGAAAATAGAACGAAAATGACGGCATTAATGAACGAATGCGAAAGTGAAAGATAGAATGTGAAGTGGAAGAAGTATAGATCAAATTTGACAATAAAGAGAATGGGAGTGGATTGGAAGAAGTGAAATATAGTCGGTGAGAGGATGTGTAAGGGAACGTTCAAAAGAAAGAAACTTCAAGAAGTAGAACTGGGGAAGGTGCACTAGAAAAAACACGGAAGAGGAAGTAGAAAGTGTGAATGAAGTGGAGAACAAACTGGAAAGGGAAGTAAAATGAGTAAAGTAAGCGAAGGTAGACCAAATGGTGACAGAAGTAAGTGGAAGTGGAGTAAGTTGTAGAAGGAGCGGAAAAGGACGTGAAAGGGAACGAAAAGGAGGCGTAAGAATAGGTCGTTCTGAGTAAAAATGAAAGGTTAAGCGGAAGGTCGTGGACGTAGAAAAAGGAGGTTTAGTTAAAATAGAAGCGCAGGGGAAAATAGAGCAAAAGATGAGGTACCTACAAACGTACATAGAGTTTGGAGCGAAAAAGAAAGTGCAAGTGAACGCATAAATGGAGCTGACTGGAAAAAGAAGTGAAAAAGGAGAAAAGTGCTAGAGCTAGAGCACGTGGAAGAAAGTATGAAAGGTAAAGAGATGGTGAAAGAGAAGAGCGTAGACAGAAGCATGGGTTGGTGCGAAAGTGACAGATTGCGCGAATTGTGAAGCGAAAGGGGCGGAATATGGAGGAAGGGGAGGGGGAGCATTACGACTTCGTTGCGTATCACATGTACGGTCATTGACAAAAGTAATGTTCGCTTAATGGGTAAACTCTGCAGCATAGGCAACCAACATGCCTATCACTAAATTAATTTCTCCGAATTAACGTGAGATCAGGGTTCGCAACTGATTTTAGTAAAAAAATAGAGACTTCGTCTCTAATTAAATATTTAAAAATAGAGACCTTCGAGAACCAATTTCCATACAAAATTAAGCAAAAAATATTTATTTTGTAATATATGAGATACATAAACGGCAATATATCTAAACAAGTATAAATTGTGCACAACTCTTGTGAGGATAAAAAGCATTTTTTTTTACCCAAATAGCTTTTTTTTGACATCACCAATGGATATATTTCTTGCAGACGTCCCAATGGCCCTTTGTGAGTACCCTCTTCCGACAATCCGTTCTCGAGGTATAAGGGAATATACCCGATCGCGATAAGAGGTCGAAGAGGAGGGCTATGGTTGGTAGAAATTAATTCCTTTCGTTGAGACCAATTGGTTGTCGTATGTAAAAGTTCTGCACTTTTACCTACTTTCAAAAACAGCATCTCAGGAAATAATTCGTGGGGGGGGGGGGCCTTTTAGACAACGAAATTTAGTGGCCGTCTGGCACACCTTCAAAGTATAGGCTACCTACGCCAAAGAATTCCAGGACTACCTACCATTCTCCTAGAAGTAGTTCCAAACTGCAGAAGTGGGTCCGAACGGACAAAACGCATTTTTTTAATTCTTAAAAAATGCGCTAAAAATGTAAAATTTCTGCGGTTTACCAATTATGAATTATACTTTTTTAACATGCAAAATTTAGAGACTTTAGAAACCAAATATGAAAAATAGAGACTTTTAGAGACCAGCATTGAAAAAAGAGACCAATGTCTAAAAAAGAGACCATTTGCGAACCCTGCTAATGAGTAACGTTGCATCCCTACACCTTATTACCTTAAACTTTCCTCTACATTTTCTTAGAATTCCTTCTTATTTCCTCAAAATTGTCTAATATTTCCCTAGAACTTCCTCTAATTTTGTCCATTTCTTACATATTTTCAGCTATTTCCTCGAAATTTCCTATATGAGGGACAAGAATTTCCCTCGTGATCGACCACTAGATGGAATAGGAGTTAGAAGGTTGTAGACAAAGAAGTGGAGGAGAAAGTGACATGGAACGCGGTTGAGGATATGCAAAGTGAAAGTGGAATAGAAGTAAAATGGATGAATAGAGCAAATGCGTGAATACAAATGGAAGCGAAATAGGAAGTTGAAACGGACGTGGAAATGTTGGGTGGTGTATTACGTGGGACGGAAATAGAAGAGTAATAAATATTGTCACGTGTGTTTACGAACCCAGTAAATGTAGAGTCTTGTGTAATTTGGGCAAGCCGACTGTGTGAAAATAAATGCAATAAAATTTTATTTTAAATCTAGTTTTTATGAAGTGACTTTCGGTGGCGAATAGTGGGGTGACCGTACTGCGTGACATTTCAGTATTTTGTATTTTTGTGTGGTTCATACTGGGCAACCAGGTGGTTTACACAGCAAGGTAATAGAAAAAGTGATACTTTAACTTAAATATTGTTACCAAGCTCTCTGAGAGAGGGGTACGGAATAGGCTTCCAGACGGGTACTTAAGGAAGCACGTGCATGTATATTTTCTAACACAATTGCGAGGGCGCGTAATGTGAAACTGGTACGTTAACAAAGGAAGAAGAACGAGAACGTGGGTTTCCAGAAGCTCGAGAAGGCAGAGCCACATTCGGAAAAGGTGGCAGTGGAGTTTTTTGGCGGACATGCCACCGTTTACTACTTCGGCGTTATTTCCGTAAAGGTTTACGAAATCGTAAAAGAACACTTAATTTATCATGTATCACACTGTACAAATCGAAATTTCTAAATTTATAAAGCAACTCATCCGTACGTGGTCAGCGTGCCGGTCGATTATTTTGTGTAGGCGCCTTTCTCGGGTCGCTGATCTGCAGCTCCTACAGTTGAAACGAGCATAAACTCGCGAAATAACACTTATCCTTCAATTCCTTTAAATAACGCAGATGGCTCTTGAAAATTAAAAATACCAAAGTGCCAATAGACATTTCCCGAATTATTAGGTTCATCAAGGTTACGGAGTTCAGGCCAAAAAAATTCTTTGCCTGTTTTTTTCCAACGCAACGATCTTAAAATAACATCGTTCAATATTTATGGCATCGTTTCATCTCATACACGACCAATAAAAACGGGTTTTATTGCCAAAGAAATTCCAAAAACCAAATTTATATTCTGGTTTGTGAAGTACTACCTGAGTTGCGTGTGTGCCCCATGCAGAAGGCCGTTTACTTGATGTTGCTTCGATTTCCAAACATAGACATGGATCGATGTCCTATTTCTGTTTGTGCAAAAGTCGCAACGCAACTTTTACTCTTCAATTATTCCTGAATCAATGCCACAGATGCTCCATTTTCAGTTCAGCGTTTCCAGACTTACAACGTAACGAAAGAAAAGCGAATTCAAATTTCAGTGGAAGTGGAAAACTCCCTCATTCGTCGTCTGTTACGAAACAGAAAATAACTAGTCCATCATCAGCTGAAGACTGGGGAAATAGTCCAACGCTCATGACCACTTCGCGGGGAGGGGGCATTTTACAGAAACAAAAGTCACGATAATGCTTAAGGGAATATCGGCACCAGGACACCGACACATAAACCTCGTCCGGACCAGGGACCTACATTATGTAGGTAAGTATCCTCTTCGCCATTACACATTGCAAGTTTTGAAACCAATCATCGCAAATACTGGCCACAATTAAATTATCGCTCATAGCGACAGTGCGTTTTGTCGTTTCCTATAACGAAATTGATTAATAATTGTCGATTTTGTTTAGACTTTATCACGAAGTTGTCTGCACTAACCTAAATTAGCTACGGGGGCGTTTTCTTTTCTCTACCACCGTCACACAAACAAATTACTTGACTGTCAAATAACTTCTAGTTGCGTAGGTACTTTGGCTCCACATTGGACAGTTCTGGCAGTATTTTTTGTTTCGAAAAATTAGAGCATCTGATTCTCATGTAAAATATTGCGATCGAAACAATTTCGATGATTTCGTTTCAGGACGATCCAAGATCAAG